TTCTCAAAATTATTTCTCAACGCTGGTCTCATCTGCCGAACTTTTGGATTCTAGTTACAATATTGGTCATGAATTATATTAGATTTAAATCAATCTTTAAATACTTCTGGTCATGGATAATTTACAAATCTGTTTTATAAACCTAGATATTTTTAATTTACCAAATACACTGTCATGATTAATAAAATAGATGCTAAATCTTGTTCGTCTGCACTAACTGTACAGATAAAGCTACTTTCAAAGACTGTACTGCTATACCATAAGCCTAAGATATACATACGCCTCTTGGACTATAGGTGATGTACAACTATAGTGTAAAAGTACAGATTGTGCAAACAGGATTAGTTCTAGTAATAGTAATTGGAATTCTGGTGTGGGATTTGCAGATGTTTGGCAGTGAAGAGCAAATAGGGAGAGAGTTAAGACAAGAAGCATGTCAAGTGTTGCAAGGTTCACTTGAAACAAGACCAATCTAACTGTGGATTGTACATACACATCTGAGATGTGTTTGGAATCAGACTGTTGTTTCTATTCCATCAGACATTCCGGATGTGCGACTGCACATGTCCGGTCTTCTCAAAGAGTGAGTTTATTGCATCACGAGTGCTGCACAAGCAGCCAAACCAGAATGACGAAATTGGCTTTTACCTGGCAAGTTGTTTAGTTAAAGGATGTGTGAGTGATATTTGGTGCGGTGTTACAGCAGAAGAAAGGGAAGGCATTAACTTGTATTGCAGCATAGCTCTGTACATGAAGAGAGGCAGTATTCTCTTGCTAGGGGTGAGTTAGTGCACAGCAGAACTAAGGAGATGCATTTCTGCTCTTCACCCTTATGTTAGAAGGTCGTTGTAACACCTGATATACCGATGAAAGAAAATAATTAAACTTCATATGTCCCACTGTCCTCAATCAAAGCCTATCAAGGAATTTCAGAAATAGTTGATGTGTCTTGGGATGTAGCCTGTATCATCCAAACAACCCCATATAGTGTTTATTAGTAGATTAGCCTTATTATCATTTAACCATTCAAAGTATAGCACTGGCTAAATGACAGATGTCAATGAATATTGGGTAGTTACCACAAGTTCTTCAGACTCGCTGTTCTTTCAGGAGTTTGGAAAGAGGAAAGACTTCTAAAGAGGCTGAGTTTTTAAGGACTTCATAAATTCTAAATGCAAACTAGGTAACTAATATGGTCCTAAACTCTCAGCAAATAGAATGATGGGAGTTTGATGAAATAATAGCTGATTTTTCATGTGTTAAAATTTACTTTAACTCAGATTTAAAAGTGGCATAACAGTAGCAGAAGAAAATTCCATGTACTTGTGCTTGTTATAGTTTAAACTTTTTAGTGAGCTATCCAATATAGGTCTGGGGCTCTTGTTTCTTATTAATCCCACAAACAATGGTAAATTTGTAATTCCATACTTTATAATCTTCCCCAGTTTTATGTTCTGCCTGCTGTATCTCTGAATCAGATGCATATGCTTACCTGACTGTTTACCCCCTTCTCTACAGGTACTTCCTAGCAGCTACAGTTGAACAGTTTTTTCTTCTTTCTTTTTTTTTTTTTTTTTTTTTTTGGTGGATGTTCATATTTTGCCTCAAGGCTCCAGTAAAGACACCAGCTGGTTTTCAGATCATGAGAAAGAGGTACAACCAATATAAATTCTACTTCAAAAGCATGTGGCTGCAGGGAAAAAGTTGGATTGCCTTGAACTGTTCAGAATTTTTCAGTGTTATGAGAATACTCTTAGTTATACCTAATCGTCAGCGGTTGCTGTGGGAGTCCTAAGTCAACCGTATGTGCTTTTTGGGTCACTAATGACCACTTTCAATTTGCCTTTTATTTTTTAAACTCTGTGTATGTGCATACATGCATGTGTACGTGCTGTTTTAGTTCTTCTGACTTAACTTTTAATTGTAAAAACATATTTCTCATGAATGTTTGTAAATTATCCTGAGTGATATAAACCAGATTGGGACAGCTATCATTTTTGCAGAGCTTGTTGGTGAAATATCTTTCTATTAATTGTTTTTTCTCATTTCAAGAAGTGTGAATGATGTTGCATTTAGAGAGTGCAAGAAAAAAATAATCAGTATGCAGGATAAACTATAGTAGAACCATTTTATTTAATGAAAAACTCCCAAGCTTTATTTTTAAGTGTGTCATTTGTATACCCTGATGACAGATGAAATTTTGGAAAATCAGTGCATCAGTGACCAGCAAAATTATTAATGTGAACTTTCATCAGATTCTATGTGATTTCTGCTACAATCTTGTGATGAATTACTGGAGGAAGTTTTCCCCTCTTTCAGTTTGTGTGGAAACTTGAGAAGTTCCCTATTGAAAACAAATGCAGGACATGTTTCAAATGCCTGTGGACTTTCCCGCAAGTCTCCGTTACGGTAATTTTCAGCAGATAGCCTTCCTAATAATGGCATAATTAACTTGTCACTGCAGAGCATCCCCATATGTCTCAAAGTGGTCCATTTAAATAAAATTAAAAGAAACAATACATTAATATCCTGAGGGAGTGAAAGCAGAATATTTAACAGCATGCATTTCATCCGATTTGTGCTTTATTAAGCAGTGAAAGAAGAAAACAGGAAAACTTTTAGACTTATTTTTTCTGATTAAATGAATACTCATTACTCCCTCTATTTAGAACCAGTTTTACTATCCCAGTTATCTGACTTTAAAGCGTTTTCAAAATGTATTTTGTAAGACTACCAAAACAAAAGATATGAATTTCAGGAAATTAGATCATGATTGATTTAAAAAAGAGGCATGACAGGGCAGCATTCATTACATTTCTGTGACTGCACATTTTGAGTGAAGTACAAAGGTTGCATATTTTCGAAAACCAAGAAGTGTGACTCCAATAGCTTTACAATTCGCTTCCTGAAAGCCCTATGCAGAATCTTTGTTAAAGTGGGAATAAAAAGGTCAGTAAGGTATTATAAGCAAATTACGCCTACCTGTTTTTTTTCTTTTTCTTTTTAATGAGACCTTTTATACATTCCTCGCAAGCAGTTTTGTACATTCTTGTTGTTTCCAAATTCTGGAAAATACTAATGGTGGTACAACCCACTTTGTTTGTCTGTGGGAAAGCAGATGCCTCTTAGACCCCTTGTAACGCAAACATAATTTCTGCTGATTCCCTGCTTACCCTGGATGAAAGTCAGCGGCCGCTGCTTGTAGCAAATGGTACCTGCTGATGCGGTCCCAGGCAGGAGGATGGAGCAGTGCTGGCCTGGCAGCTGCCAGCTCCTGCTTGAAGCGTGGGTTGTGCAGAGCAGGCTGGGAGCTAAATGGATGCCCGTAAGCATGAGGCTGGGGTGAGAAAATACAGAGCACGTTGTCTGGCTGGGCACTGTAAAGACCACAGTTTGCATCACTGCTGTCACATGTGCTGTATACAGAGTCACCATGAGATTGCTTGTGAGATGCAGATGGAGGCAGTTGGGAGTCTTTCTCTCTTTCTGCCCTTCAGATTTTCCTGCCCTTTCTGCCCTACCTGTTTTCCTCTGAAATAACAAAATCAAAGTTTTATCTTTGTACTTTGAGAAACATTTATTAAACTGACTTCTAATATTGGTCTGATGTCTCCTTGTGCATATAGAAGGTCTCTGTTACAAGTTCTTTCTAGTGGTGGAAAGTATGTAGAGACAATTCTCTTGAAGCTTGCTCTTGTTTATGCTTTCTTAAATATAGGTCTGTATAACTCTTTGTGGAGAACCATTTAAATATTATTTCCATAAACGTAACTAAAATATTTTCCATGTAAATTAAGGAGGTGCATGCTAATCTTTATTGTTGCAGAAGGACCAAATGCACACTACGTTTCTGCTGCTTTCTAGACCTTTTCATTCTAATCTGAACACACAGTCCTGTGAAGAAATGTGTAATGAGATCACTTTAATGAGTTAAACAGAAGAATAAGTAAATATAGTATTTTATAATTGTGCTCTTCAAGGAGAAAGGAAAATTAATTTCTTACTGTAAGGAGAAAGTACTGCTTGTGGTTGAGCAATATATGCATGTTGCTTTTAGTTAGAGCAGTAAGTTAAAAATGTGTTGCTCTGCATACTTTCTAGATTAATCAGAAGTAAATTTCAAGCCAAGATATTTTAGTTTAGATAATATTGATATAATTTTGTCTATTGACCAAACATTGTAAAAAGGTAAAATGATATTTTTGTGTTCCACAAAGTATCATTTTGTGAGCACATAGTTATGCACAATGGAAAATGAAAATACCGAGGGAAAATTCTCAAATATATGTGTATGCATTAATCTGAAAATTTATTCTGATATTCAAGAGATTAATTTTTTTCTTTTACTCCAAGTTTTTTTTCCTATTGTTATTCTCGCTGACGGGTTTGTTCTTCTTGAGTTGTGTGTGGTTTTAATTATGCTTTGCTGAAGGAAGTATGGAAAATATGAACAGTTTTGTTTAGGAGCAGAAAAATCAAAATGAACTAGAGAAATTAGGTTGCAGTGACCTAATTAGCTCTGAGACTTCTACCCCAAAATTACTCTGAATTGAACCAAAATCTCTGTTGTTCTTTATAAGGTTTCTTGCAGAGAAATAATGTGCTGACAATTTCTGGGAGTATTTTTATTAATATTTTGCTGAAATACCTAATGTTATCGTACATTTTTAACATTTTTCCTACTTTTCATAGAAAAAAACTAAATTGCTGTTCAAAAATTATTAGTATTGTAATATAATCTATTTCATCTGGCAAGTGAGAATTTCATAATGCACTTGCCTTGTTTTGTAGCAAATTGTTTTATCCCCCACCCCCACCCCGTTCCCACTCATTTCCTAAATTATGTGCTTCTTACCTCCATGTAATACTTCAGTACTTAATTGCAGATAATTTTTTTTTCCTTTTAATGTGAAAAGGAGTGATTTTTGTATTGATTTCTGCTGTGTCTGCGGACATATAAGTCAATGTAGATCTAAACAGGCCAATGGTTACTCTTTCAGGAGGTCTGCATGCTGCTAGAAGAAGTTGTTGCTTCAAGGGTCAAACACTACTTGGAAGCACCTAAACAACGTGGTCAATGGAAATCAATGGAACATGCAACATCTGGTCCTTTGTTTCTTACCGGTAAAATAAATTATTTAACATACTGTGAAATAAAGTATGATAAAGTAGGATAGAAACTGCTGTTCTTTATTGTTTCCATAAGAAATTTTTCATTGGGAAAGCCAGTAGGCCTGAAGTAACTGGTGCTTGAGTCTGAAATTACTTCAACTGGAAAAATGAAGTGGGTTTTAATTTTCTAATGTTACTGAAAAATGAACATAACGCTCGTACTATTAGTGTGAAAGCCTATCATTAGAATTAAAAAGAATAAATGGTATAATTCTGGGTCCTCCAAAATTGATGGCAATCTTGCTGGTTTCATAAGTCTCCTTTCCCCTTGAACATTTAGTTTAGAAGTTTTTAACTGAGAAATATCTTCTCCGTCTTCTGACAGCCTGTTCAGTCTTAAAAAGTTGCTGTGATGTGATAAATAGCATTTGTCATTTCACTGGTGTTACTACAGGCTTGGCAGTAGCAGCAATGACCTAGGGAGTAATTAGCGTGCAGGAGAGAACAGTAGTAAGAGCATTTACCCGACTGGAACTCTGTGTGTGTGTGAGGGTGGTGAGACTAATAGGTGCAATTTCCGTACATGCATGTTTTAAACTAAAGATAATGATCACTATAGCTTGTGCTCTAATGTTAGCTTAGCTTTGGGGCTAAATGGCTTGCCAGTTTTTGTTTAATGTTATTTCACTAGTTGTTGTGGTCATCATGGTGGGTTTTGCAGTTGATAGACACATCCTTTGATGTTATATCACACAAGCAATTTAGTTTTAAATAGTTCTTCGAAAATAATGACTTTTTTTTTTTTTTTTTTAATTACCAACCTGGAGCATTTTATAAACTTGTCACAGAAAAGAAAGGCTGCAGTGGTAAAGCCCTGTGTCTATGGTTTCTCACTTTTTCTTAAATATATTGAAATAGATCTCTACTGAAATATGAATTCCACAGTGAAAGTAATTACATACTTAGAATATACTATCAGTATACTGATACAAATTTTTTAATTCAATGTATATTATCAGTTTTAATTCTGAACAAATTCTTTGCCTCAGTGTTTTCAGTTATGGAAATGGTATATTCCTATAGAAGTCTGGTTGATGGTTGCAGCTTTAGACACTATTATCAATATTGAGTGGTTTTAATACAGAAAACACAGGTTAAATACTGTATGGTTTGCTTATTATGGCAAAATATAGGCATACATGGGAGCCAGATTGTTACGGCATGACAGGAGAGGTTTTTTTCCACCCACGAGAACATGCTACTGCATAAGCAAAAAGTGCTTCAGGACACCAAAGGATTTTCAAACCCTTTTTTCCCTTGCAAATTGTAACTACATTTTATCCCTTTAAAGTATTATTAGTAGTTATGAAACACACAAACTTTCAGACCCTCATATTTTTCTGGTTTTGAGTGTACAAATAGAAGTTCCTTACAGTGAAAGCAGAGGGAAATTAAAGAAGGTGGGATCAGAATTTCTGAGTTTTGTTGAGGTTTTTCCTGTGTTTTCTTTTACTGAGTGCTAATTTTTATTCTTTATTTTTAAAGTTTCCTGCCTCAGGAAAAAGTAGACTTTCAAAACCAGTGATTTTTTAAGATAAAAATTCCACACATCATAATTGTTCTTATATATGCAGAAAGATGCAACACTAATTTGAGGGTGTTAAATGAGATTTTAGGGTCTTATATTTTCTTTTATATCAAGAACTTTTCAGTAAAAATACTGGTATACTATGCCAGGGTTGTGAACTGATCTTCTGCTTGACTTTTCCCCTTATTTCCTGAAACTGAAATACTTAAGGATTTGCATTTGAGGAGGTCATCAGTAATACCTGTGACAGTTTTAGATTAAAGAATATTTACTTTGGATGAGGCAGAATTACTGTTCCATCAGTTTTCTGCAGTTAATCTCACTATTATTAATTAACACTGAAGAAATAAAAGAAGAAACCAGTCTGTGATAACGAGCATTCATGTTGAGCTTAATTTCCACATCCATCTCTTCCCTCTTCTCTCAGCCTGCTTTGCTCAGGGCTGTAATTTCTAAGAAAGGCGTGCTTTGTTCAGGTCCAAGAATCAAGTTTATTCAAGTTATGTTCAAGTCTGTTCTTACCTGAGAAGGAAATAACAGAATAGGTGGGTGTTCACCCGAAGAACTGGGATGTACCCTGAAGGGACTGACCCTTTTAGGTGGGCCACAAGTCTTAACAGTATTTAGCAGTTATCACTCAAACATGGCTCCAAAACCTCTTGTGTTTTCTTTTCTCTCTAGGATCACAGGTTCTGTTTGTAGAGTACAGTGATATGTTTTTGTGTTTTTTCACAAACAGGTGAAATGCAAGATAGCTGGCCAGTGTTTGGCTGACAGCTTTTTGTAGTACAGAGAGAAATGCACAAGCTTGGTATGTGGCTAACTACATATGCATACTGTAGGTGCTGCTGGTGAAATGTTTAAGCTTGCAGCTATTGTTGCATTTGGAGGTTATTAAAAGTTCTTGAGCTCTTCAAACTGTATCTGGTTTCTTTTGCCTAAAGTTAGGCAAGTCTGTGTCTAGAGTTTCACTGCTGTAAAACCCTTGCTGTTGTAAGGAAGAGTATATCTACAGAAGGAACATTAAGATGCTTATTAGCTGCTTATTTACTACTTCAAGTATCCCAGGTCAGTATTCCACCTCTCTTTGAACTCGCATTTTTTCAAATCAGTTTTAATTAGTTTGATCTCCACATTGCAGGAGGTATTCAGAATTTATTAGAACCAATATTAGTAAGATTTTAGACTATCTCTAATACTGAAGATTGTTGTATGAGGATTTCCTTCAGAAACAGAAGCCAAGCTACCTTACTTTGATGAGCAGATCTCATCCTGCTGTCTAGATCTGTTTAGCAGAGAATACTTGTTAAGCTGGCTACCATAACAATTATGAACAAAAAAATTTCACCTATCACAATTTCTTTTTAATGTCAGTGTTACATGATGTTTAATATTAATATTATTTAATACCACCTTTCAGTTTTGTGGCACATTATATAAATATCCATGCATGTTACTTGTTAATTTACATTTCTTTTTCATTTAAGTTACACCCACACAGCAGTGTGTGGTGGGTCGCATACCATCTCATTAGGAAATCTGTGGGTGTTACACACAAGAGAAGAAAGAAAGGAAGAATGGAAAAATGAGAGAAGGTAGCCAAGACAAGCAAGTTCTTCCTATTCTTCCTTCTGTCTGAACAATTTCCCCACCCCTCCCAAATGGCCAGTATGAACAATATGCCAAAGTAAGCTTTAATTTAGTCTTTGGACATAGGCTTTGGTATAAACTCTGTTTCCTGTGTTTAATTAATGTCCAAACGTGTTTGATTTTGGTTTGTTTTATTTTTTTAAGAGAAAATTAAAATGGGGTAGATTTTCAAAGACTTAATTTTGCCTGCATCCAATCTGCATGGCCAAAATCCTGCAAGAAGGGTATTGATCAGCTATGGTTTGCTTGCATTACTTGAAGTTCAGTGGATGTAAGCCATCCAATAACCAAAGGCATGTATTAGAGAATTTCTGTCATTATAAAAATATTGCTACACTTTAGTAATGTATAACCTTTAAGGTTAGAACTTATGTTTGATATATATATATATATACATGCGCTATACATTTTCACTTTGAGCGGCTTGCACTGCTCAATAACATGTACTGTTTTTTAGTGATGATGTCAAGCATGCTATTCTGTCGTAATGCTTGCCTACTGTAGATTTAAGCAAGCTCAAAACAGAGCCTGTTATTTCATGTTCCACAGAAGGTGGCTGTTTCTGATTAAGAGCAATGAGAATTATGTAAAAAGAGGCTATAAAGAGGACTGAGTGGAACTATTAAATATAGGGGAATGACAAAGGGAGGACTGTGGACAATTAGGGAAGACGACAAAATTTACATAGGCACAGAGGAAACAAAAAGGAGGACTCGGAAAGAGAATATGGCAGGTAGAAATGTCCACATTAGAAATGGAAGGAAGGAAGAAGTTATCTTGTAAACTGACCTTCTTCCCCATCTTGAGGGAGGAAAAAGTGAACTGTGTTTATCCTACAAGTAATTTTCAGATCTTTTTGCATTCCTTCCCTAGCATCCTTGTTGTTTTTCTTGGCTTGAGGGTGGAACATTTTTGCTCTGATTTCAGATCTTTTTATTGTACAGTCTCTTCTACAGTGAAAATAATTAGAGAGCATGCTGTCACATGGCACAGTGAGCTCCCAGCTTGATTTTATCTGCTTTCTCTAGGATTGTGTATATTTATGTTTTTATTTTTAGCCTAGTTTTCTAAGGAAATGGGGCTTATTGTGATCATGTTTTCTCTGTGTGTGTGTGTGTGTGTGTGTGTGTGTGTGTGTGTGTGTGTGTTTGTCTGTCCATCTTTTCCCCCAATTGCTTTTTGCAAAACTAACTGAACTTTTTTTAACAGGTAGAAGTCCCAGACATTCAATTTTTAGACATTAACTTCTGATAAGCTTACTAAAAGGAAACACTGGAAGACTTACAAGTGCTATTATGTTCAGCTGTACAAAGATCTGGAGTCAAAGTTCATGTCTTATTTAGTATAAAAATATGCATGAGATGCAATTTCATACCAAAATACGTTTCTGTTGCTTATGAAACTATTTGGCTTCTGTAAGCACACAAAAAATATACAATAAATCATGATGGTAAATATTCCAAACTGTTTTGGCCTTGCATTTTAATTTGAACATTATGATGTTTTTAAGGAAAACACCCTCTTCAGACTGGCCCAGTTTGCTTTAGGATGTTCACTATTGCTGTAGAACATGAATTGTGTAAGATGTTCATCGGGTATGTTCCATGTTACAATCCTGTAGCAACAAAACTGATTCATTCCCGCCCTCCAAGCTGTTAACTTTTATTTCCCTGCTCTGAGACAGTGTTTTGTTTGGTTTTAACTGGAATCATTTCACCTACCTTGCTTTTAAAGAGCAACCTCACAAAAATTTGGTGGGTGCAAACAGAGGGAA